TCCACCTGAAAAATGTTAAAACTCAAGCACAATAAATAATGAATTTTTTACCGGTCCCGCTCGCGCGTGTACCAGAAATACGAAACATTGTCGTTGAAATCCAAATTACGGAATATGTTTTTCCATCCGAAAATAATAAATCTGTCGCTACAAAAGGGGAATCTTGACCCGGGAAGCGGTCGCTAACGGAGATTTAATCACTTTTGCGACCGGAAGCCGGACGGGCCGATGTTTCTCTATTTTTCTTTTTTCGCCGTTGACGAATGAAATTCCTCTGAAAATTTATTCCGCGCTCCTCTCCCTTTGATATTTTGTGTCCCGCGCGCGCACGCGTTGCGCGCCGTGTGGCGAGCGTGTAATTTTCGCGGAGCGCGTACTTTGCCGGCGCGATATTAGCACCCGGGCGCGTTTCGCACGCCACTCATCGTCGGACGTCTCTTAACTATGCATTCTTTGTTCTCTGGACAAACGATATGGGAGCCCGTTCCCCGCGTAGACCGTAGGTTTTTCGATGATTTTTTTTATTCCCCCCGGATATTTTTCGTTTTACCTTCTGCGCGCCTTGTTTGTCTCCCGTCAACCCTCCGCGCAACGGTTGGATAAATTGGGCGAATTGCGTGTTTGTTTTCTCCGTTTTCGTTATATATATATATATATATATATATGAATTTAATGGACAGGGGATGTACAATCGTCGGGGATTGAATGCAGTAATATCCCATTGTTGATGGTAACTGTTCATACAGTAGCGACATCGGATCTTTATAAATAGCGAACGCGGGAGCACCGCCGAATGTTGCCGAATAGTTACACGGTACCGTGTGCATGTTGTTCCGTGTAGCGTGCATGTAACGTAATTACCGGGTATAATTACGAAACTACGGACTTTACGCATTTATTGCATCCGTGGTGATGAATACCGCGGTGCGAATGTAACTTTGACATGATTTTAATCAAGTTTGATAACGTGTGCGCAACCTGGAAAACCCTTTGACGCCTGTTTATCGGAATTTAACCCTTCAAGGTATGCTCCTGCTCGTATGCTAACGAACGAGCTTTTGTCCGAGACGACATTCTTGATCCTGATACGGTTCTTAGTCGAACCAGGTCAAAACGCAGCGTTCCAATTTATTAATATCAGCTATTTAGTAATAGATGTTCATTATTTTTTAACGAAACTAAAGTTACAGTGCTCTTCACAGATTCTTTAGGCGTTTCATACTGGATATTACTTTCCCAAGCTGTCGAATTTCAATTCTTTTACTTGTTTCGCTATGTTATACTATGTTATTATTATTATTATATATATTATATTTACATATATTATTATTATTATTATATATATATAACGAAAGCGGAGAAAACAAATGTCGCTAAATTATTTAAAAGATTGTGGCAATCGATTCACGGCCATTTTTCCTTCAATATCATCTGAAGGTCATCATGTAATAGGTTGTTGAATTCGCCTCGACTTTTCCTACAATACTGATTATAATATATAGTATATAAATTATAATATATATATAGTATATATATTATAAAATATAGTAATATATATATAGTATATAGATTATAATATATAGTAATATATATAGTATATAGATTATAATATAAAGTTTACCTAGTTTCATCTAAGAATATAACGGTGACTTTGTTTTCTTTGTATTGAACATATAATATTGACATTTAATAATAATATTGAATTTTTCCTTGAATATTCGTTTCTCAATTTAAACAATTGCAATTTCTTGCCGGTTAAATACCGATTAACTTCGATAGGAAACATTTCTTTGTCAGACCATCGTGGGGATCAATTTGTGACTCACCCTGTGTATGAATCAGAAAAATTACGAATTCATTACATTCTATCGATGCTGGGAAAATAGATTTCCTTTCTTCGCAATCGGAATAATTTCCCTTACGAACGTAAATCTCGTCCGTGCCGGTCCGCCGCAAGTTGGACGCTTGTAGAGGATAGGTCGACGCACACGGAAGACTTCTTCGGTTATCTCGGAGATACGTCTTCATGGCAATCTCGAAGAAGTGCATTCGGGTGGACAGTAAAAGAAGCGTACGTACGACGTGGCAAGTCGTTCGATATCAGAAGAAAGAAAAGTAAGATTCTCGTCGTCGAGATAAAGGATATCTATAGCCGTGTTTACGTGACGGCAAGAGATCCGAGCTCATTCGACTTTCCCCCGTGTAGTTTTGAGGGAAACTCTCCGGATCGGCGTCGCCGCGGTGCCTACGCCTGCGCGTGTAATGCGTTCATCTTTCGGATTGACCGAATAAAACTTCGAGAAACTCTTTTCGAGAACGGTGGTGTCAGCCGTCGAATCGCGTAGTCCAAGTTTCGGTTATGGATTCACCGATCGAAACGGGAAATTTTCCATTTTCTTCATACTTTTTTTACTGCCTTCTTATTGAATGCGATTCTGTCGTTTCCCTTCTTCCACTCAAATTTATTGTATTTTGGGACGGATCCAGGCTGTGTGGCTAATTTTCTGTGACCATTCTGTAACCATTCAAACGTTAAACAATCTTCTGATCGAATCACAGGCTTCGAGTGTCTCGGAATTTTCTCAGACCTTTTTGCAGCCGAGAATAATAAAAATTGTAATAATAAAACATGGAATAAAAAATGTAAAAAATATGTAATAATATAATAAAAATAATAAACCGTAATACTGCCGGATTGTTACATTAAAGAGTAGCTTTCTGTTCAGAGCGCTTAAGAACTCTTGTCGATTACGTAACGTTCAATATTTTTAAAATCTTTTAGAAATCTAATACACTTTATTTTATCGTTGGCGGGATTACTCGACCATGAATAAGACGAGTATAACGAAATGCCACACTCGTAATCTCATTAAGATACATTTTTCGACTAAGAACTTAAAAATAGACGCACCAAAATTGCGTTTCTTCAAATATCCTGCGGTATCTTACTTTCAAGCGATTTTTATACGACCTGTTCTCTCATCATTTTAAAAATTACACACACGAAATGGGAAGTGTCCGGTCAGCCTTGGCGCCAGTTTTCATCTCTCAAAGAGACTAAAAATGGACGAAGCGAACGAGATTATTCTCACTGTGGATCACTGTATAATTCCACAAAGTTTCATTAAAACCTGCGAATATCTCTCGTGAGAATTAACCCCTTGGCCTACACGATATCTGCCAATTGCACGAGCTATAGTAAACAAGAAAATCGGTCGCGCGCCGTGCCATTCAACTGTTCAGCCGTGTACCTGAACTGGCGCAAAATGTGCACCTTTCATGACATATATATTTCAGTGCAACGAAAGGAATTGCGAAATAACAAACAATGTTTAGGTGCAAACAGTAATTTTAAGACGTCTAGGGTGCAATCATAATCAATTGATCGGTTGACAAAAGTAATTTATTTTTACACAAATTTGCACAAATTCTTTATCACGAGTCTGACTCGTGGCTTTCGTTTATGGCACAAATTCTTTACCACGAGTCGGACTCGTGGTTTTCGCTTATGGCACAAATTTTTCACCACGAGTCAGACTCGTGGTTATAGGC